TACGATGATAAATAATCTATTTCATACTTTAGAAAAGAAATTTTTTTTTTGATTTGTAAAAACAAAGTTTAGCAAAACAGTTACGATGATTGATGGTAGTGATGATAATGATGATAATATTAATAATGATAATAATTTAATAATAATAATAATGATAATGTGATGATGATAAAACGAAAGGCTTTGGGAATAAAGCCCAAGAGAGAGAAAAAAAATTTTCTTTTTTTTAAAATAACATTTAAAAGACGCGATGATGATGATGATGATAGTAATAATAGTGATAATAATAATTACACCTCGTCTTAAACGATTGCGATTAATGTTTGCAATTTTTTTTTTTTTCCTAATACAGTTAATATTTTTGGGATTTTATAAGGGAATGGGAAAACATTGTACCACGAAAAATCAAACTAATTTTTTCCTTTATTTTTTACAAAAACCGTTCGGTATTATTATTATTATTATTATTATCGTCATCCGTTTTCATCCCTTTCGGAATTTATATGCGTTCGTTAGTACGTTCGTAACGTTCATTCGTTCGTTCATTCACAGCAGGACTTTTTTTTTTATTGTTTTGTGTTTTTACTTTAATTTTTGTTGGTATCATATTATTATTATTATTATTAATTATTATATTATTATTATTACTATTATTATTATTAACGCGAGTCATGCCTATACTTGTAAAATTATTTGTTAAGTATTTCCGTTATTTTTTTTTTTTCGCTCGTGACTAAAATCTATCAAAAAAGATAAAAAAAACTTGAAAATTAAATCGAATTATAGATTGATCGATCGATCGATCTATCGATCTATCGAGCGATTATCTAAAATGGCTAAACGGTATTTTATTAAGTTTAATAATAATCATCATTATCGTTATCACCATCGACATCATAACTCTCACCTTTTTTTTTGTTTTTTCTAATATTCAATAATTTAAGTTGAATTTGAAGGAATTAGTTTAAATAAAATAATAATAATAATAATAATAATTGATCGCGAATTTATGACGATTTTTTTTTTTTTTTTTAACGTACGAACGTATATAACCCGTTTTATTTTTTTCTTATTGGGAATATATTATTATTATTATTATTAGCGTTAATTAAATTATTATAAAACGGAAAAGCAATGCTTGTAATTAAATTATTTTGCCAAAGTATTTTTGTACATAATAATAATAATTATTATTATTATTTGTTATTGTAAATTAAAACGATTGTAAAATTTGTGACGTCACACATACCCACCGTCCCCGACCCTTTTCTAATAAAAAAAAAGGAAACTTATATATAAATGGGGGGAAAAATGAAAATTAGGAAAAATAAACGTTGACAAAAAAACAAATAATAATAATAATAATAAAAAGTTAATTTTAGTAAAAGCCAACTTGCCTTCGATAGTTCGATAGATCGATCGATACATCGTTAAATTAAATTTTTCTTTTTTTTTTTTTTTTCGATTAGATTAATTCGAATCGGCTTAAGCCCTAATATAAAGCCTGTGCGTGTGCGTGTGCGTGAGTTTTTTTTTTTATTTAATAATTTTGATGTCTGGTACATTAAAAATGAAAAAAAAAAAAAAGGTTTAATTAGTAAAATGTTTGCCTATCAGTATTTTTTTGTAGTAAAAATAAATATTGCCTAAATGGAAAAACCTTTGAAATGTGAGAATTGTCAAAACAAAGGAAAAAAAGGAAAAGGTTTACTATCGCGGTAAAAAAAAACCGTTATTGATAAAATTTTAGTTTCGTTTAAACAACATTCATGACATTATTTTCTTTTTTTTTTCGAAAAAAAAAATTTTTTTTTAAACTCTATGCTACTACTACCATACACGTTAAATTGTGTGCGTGTGTGCGTGCGTGAGTGCGCGAATAATTGCGTTTCCGTATGCGTGTATATATATATAAATATATTTATAGAATTAGTTAATTATTATTTTACCTTTTAAATTGTTTTTGTTTCGTCTCCCACATTTTCTCTCTCTCTCACTCCCTGTTTTTCTTTCCTTTTCTTAAAATTTTCCCAAATAAATATTTTTTCTTTTTCGGTTATATTACCTACAAAAATTATTATTATTATTATTATTATTATTATTTCAGTTTAAAATCTTTTTAAAAAAAAAAAAAAATGTATAGTCATCGGTGATAATGATGATATTTAGAATTACTTTTAATTGTGTTATCATCATCATCATCATCATCATCATCATCATCAATTTAATTTTTTACGACTTTTCTTTTAACGTAGAGAAACTTTTTTTTTTTTCTTTTTACGGTGTAAACAAAAAAAAGGGCGAAACATTTCGACCTTTGTGACCGTATTAATAATAATGATGTTAATAATAATAATAACAATAATAATAATTAATTAATAAAGAGGGAGAGATGGCGGTTAAATTAAAAACGAACTCGATAAAATGACAAAAAAAAGAAAAAAAAAAATTTTTTTTTTTTTTTACTAAAATGTGATATACAATTGAATCTAATTTTTTTTTTTTTTTTTAAAAATATTAAAATGATTAAATTAATAAATAAATTTTTATGTACATTATGTATATATATACTTTTAAGTAATTAATTAAATAAATAAAAAAAATAAATATAATAATGATAATTTTGAAAATAAAAGTTATTAAAAAAAAAACCGAATAAAATTTTTTGTTATTTTTTTTCTCATTTCTCATTATTATTATTATTATTTATTATTTAATTACCTTAATTAATCGATTCCATAATTTTTTTTTAATTATCCTTTTTAAATAATTTGAAATAATTCACTTCGAATACTAAAAAAAAAAAAAGCAGAAGAAATTTTATTTATTTATTTAGGATATTCGTGAAAGTATACGAAAAATCAAAATGGACGAAAATTATTAATTTTTTTTTTTTTTTTTGGTAAAACCGCCATAAATCTAAGAATTTAAAAAAAAAAAAATTCAGTTCAATTTAAATTGAAAAAATTAATTCATTCATTCATTCATTCAATCATTCACTATTCGACCGGTTTTTTTTTTTTTTTAAATCTAATAGTAAACAAAAACGCCTTCGAGTTATAAAAATAGTTAAAGTTAAAGTTAAAAAAAAATGGCGGTAAATAAATTTCAACATCCGGTTTAGTAAAAATATATAATAATAATAATTATAATTTAAATCGGAAACGATGTTAAAAATGTTGTTAATCGATAAATAATTATTGATAATCTATTTTCAATTAAAATAAATAAATAAAATAGTTTAAAAATAAATAATTATTTATTTATTTATTTACCGAAACGAAAATATTTTTAATTAATTTAAATTATTGATATAATTTCATAAAATTTTTTCTAGATAAAATTATTAAAGTGAAATAAAATGATTCACGAGAAGAAAAGTTAATAAAAACGACACGATTTTATTAAAATCATCAATAACGTACATAAATAAATTTGAATCGAATAAATAAATAAATAAATAATTAATTAATTAATTTTTCAACAGGTAAGTTAAGCAAATTTTTTTTTTTTGTCGAATTTAATTTGTGAATTTTATTATTATTAATATCATCATCATCATCATCATTATTATTATTATTATTATTATTATTATTATTATTATTATTATTATTATTATTTAGAAGATTTAAATATGACGTAGATCGGTTAAAATCTGTTTATTTCAAAAAAAATACCGTTGTAAAAAAAAAAAAACCAACCGGCAACTTTTCTCTCTTTCTCTCTCTCTCTCTCATATATTAATAACCGTTTACGTAGGGATCTTTTTTTTTTTTTTTTTTACGACTCCGTTGGCACCGATAAAAAAATAAACGCCAGTAATAATAATAATAATAATGATAAAAAAGTATAAGAAGAGAATTACAGAGTGCACGGTTATAAACAAATGGTACGGTATTTGTACCTGACTTACCGGTATTGAAATGGAACAACTTAACGAATGACTACAACTCCTCGATCAGTATTTTAACGTCTTCTCGACCGTTCACACAACTTTGTCACTTATAATACCTGAAACAAATAATAATAATAATAATATTAATATTAACATTTTTTTCGATATTTATTTTTAGTTAAAATACGCGCGAGTGCTGCTGTTGTTGTTGTTGTTTGTTGTTGTGGTTGTTGTTATGTCAAAATTAAATTGTTTTTTAATGTTTAAATATTTCGGATGACGTTTTTATTAAGTAAGTTAATTTAAATAACTACCCCTTCGAGTTAATAACAGTAAGTAATACAATTAATTAAACTAATCGATATTTTTTTTATGTATATAGCGCTATAATTATTATAGCTAAAACTATATTTATAGTATCGTTAAAGCAAGTAAAGTTTTGTATAGCGATTCGTTATTAAATTGCTATAAATAATAATAATAATAATAATATTTGTTTATAATCACACGGTTCAATAAATAATACGAACACGAGTTATTTAGACCAGTTGTGGACCGTTGGTAATAGTTTTGAAGTTTTTTTTTTTTTTACGCAATTACGGATTTTATATTTTTTTTTTTTTTCGGTAAACAGGTTTTCATGTTAAAACGAACTCTAAGTTATTTTGTTGCTCGGTCACTTCCGGTATTTAAATATACAATGACAATAATACATATAATGTCGTGCATCTCACATCAAATATTTTTATGTAGTTCAATTATTTGCATTTTATTTAAAAAAAAAAAATAAGTAAAAACAAGTAAAACATTTAAACTTTAACTCCTTGATTTAACTGATTAATAGCGGTAAAATATAATGATAATGATGATGATGGTGATGTTTATTATGCAAGAACGACATTTTATTTTTATTTGTAGACTAGTACGATATTTGCCTTAAGATATGTATTTGAAACCGTTTTTGTGGTTTTTCCTACTAATTAAAAAAAAAATTAAAGTAAAAGTTGAAATTGAAGATTTTTTATATATAAAGGTTAAGTTCAAAAATTTTATCAAACTGATTTTTGTATGTCATTATTTGTTTTTTTTTTTTTTTTTTCTAGATATGTTTGGCAAAGTTAAGAACTTAATGTTTTTTACTTTGCTAATTTATTTTTGCCATGCGGAAAATGTATTTAATGTTGTATGTAGTTCACAAGATTGTACACAAGATCCGGTGGATGATAAAATCAATAATCTTAAAAGAGATGGAACAAATTATCTTGAAAAAATAATGAGTTAATATAAATAAAAAAAAATTTTAACATTATGAATTTTTTATATTTTATGTTTGTCATTGAAATTATTAATATTATTATTATTTTTTTTTTTTCTAGAACAAATACAAGATGATAAAGAAGAAAATGAAGTTGAAGAAGTTGTTATGGAACCATCTGATAATTTAAATAATAATAATGATGATAATCAATATTCAGAAGAAGCTTATAAAGCCGTAACTGGAAATGAATATATTGTGGGACCTACTCATGTTCCCGATGTTGAAATTGATGTTGTTCCAGAATCCCCCCAAGTTCCACTTACAAAAGATCAAATTATTGCTTTGTATCGAGCTGCTGTACAAAAAGCAAATCAATTGAAATTATTTGACACCAAAACAAAAGATTTTCAAAAACAAACTGAGCATTTAGGTAATAATGATAATTTTTTAATTGTAAAAAAGAAAAAATGTGCAAAAATAAAAAATTTATTGTTTTTTTTTTTTTGTTATGAATTTAGTGAAACCGTTAAAACAGGGTCAAATGGAAGGACCTTTGTCTGGTTATTATTATTATTACTTTCCAATAAAAAATTTATTAACAAAAACAAATGATACTGCAACTACATCTTCATCTGTAACTGCATCATCATCATCATCACATATGCCTCAAGAAGTTGAAGAAAGTGTGACGACAACTATAGATCCTTCGAATAATGCTGTTGAACCATTGTTCGTGGCAGTAACAAGTTTCATTGGATTAGCACTTGTATTTCTTTTTTCAATTGTTCTTGTTCCACGTTTTCACAATATAAAGTTGTTACTTTTTCATTTGAATGATTTTTCCGTTTAAAAAATGGGTTAATTATAATGAGAATTAATTTTTTTACCATTCCAGACATTACAATGCTGAGTTTAAAGACACTGAAGAAGAAATTGGAAATATAGGTGTGATAATTTTGGAAATAATGGCTGGAAAAGACTGCAGCGAACGTGTTGCATGTGAAATTGTCAAAATATTCAGCGGTTTGAAATCAAATAGCAAAGCATTAAGAATTTTAGAGATAATATTACCACACAATTATGCACATCAAATTTCAAACATAAGAAAAGCTGCGGGAAAGCGTGGCAGGTGTTCATATGTTTCTTGTAAAGCCAAGAAAACTAAACCACCGGGAAAAAATCCAATAAAAACTTATAAATTAAAACCCTATAATGATAATAATAAAAATAAAAAAACTCCTCACGATTTATGGATGATGCATTTTGAAAAAAAGAAACCTCCGATTAAACAACAACAAGAGAAAAAACCACAACCAAATCGACATAATAATAATCAGCAGAAGAAAAAACAACAACACATAAAACCAACAACTTGGGAAATTAAAAAAGAATCCATGGAAATAGATGATGATTATCAAGAAATATCTTAAAAAAGAGTTCAATGATTGATTGATTGATTGATTGATTGATTGTTTCATAACAAACTATCTACATAAAAGACTTTTAATTATTTAATTTCTCATGTTTCAAATCAATTCTAGTCTTGTTTTCAATTTAGTTAAGTTTAAACAATAAGTGAAAAAAAAATCAATGTAAATTTGTACCTTAGGTTTATTGTACCTAACATGAAACTTCACACATTGTTACATATATACATTCAAATTTCATTTATTTTTATTTAAGTATACGCGTACCTATTATTATAAATCAAGGTATATTATTGTACATTAAACGTTATAAAACAATCATTGTTTTATATTATAATAATAATAATAATTATAAATATAAAAATGTCGTTATTGTTATTACTTATTATTATTATATATATATTACTTATTTATTACTATATTACTTACTTATTACTATATTACTTATTTATTTATTATATCACTACTATAAATAATTCATCATTTTCTAATGTTGGTTAATTAATTGTTATTAAATTTTAATTTTTAAATAAATTACTCTATTTATTTTGCTTATTTTTAATTAAAAAAAGGTGAAAAATATCCTTAAAATTCCGTTAAAAAAAAAAAAATTAAATAAATTAAATGAATGTAACTTACCGAATGAGAAAAAACGAACTGGCAGACACTTGTTGACACATGACGACACGATTATTATTGGCGGGTTCGGTACTGCCAACTTAAAACTTTTGAATTTGTTTTCCCTCGCATTCCGGAACGTCGTAAATTTAAAAATTCATCCGTTAAACTAAAATAAATTACATTTATGAATAATTTTAAATTTTTTCGTTAGAGAATATATAATATATGATATTAATAGAAACAATAATTTTATTAAAAAGGATTATTATAATTAATAAGAAAGAAAAAAAGAAAAAAGAAAGAAAAAAGAGGTTATTTTTTAATCAAATAATAAACGACTATATAAAATTAAGTATAAGAAACATTTATATTGCAAAATGTAAAATTAAAAGAATGTTATATGCCTGCATATATATATATGTATGTATATATATAATTATATTTTATGTTATAATAATAATAATATACAAGGTAGAAATTGATTTTTAAATCAACGTATAAAGTTGTTTTATATTAATAATAATAATAATAATAATATTCCAAAATAAAAATTGGATAGGATGAAAAACTTTCATAAAAATTTTTTTTTTTTTCCCAATTTTTTTTTCAATTTTTTTTTTTGTTATTTTGATATCATCACATATATAATTTTCACATCGATTTAATTAATAATAATAATAATAAAGTATATCAATAAAAATTTTATAAATATATTTTTTTTGTTCCTTTTTTTTTTTTATGAATTTAAACTACTTCTTTTATGAATATTATACATGTAAAATTTAATTTATCAATCAATTATGTGTATGTGTGTGTGTGTATCTATATTTATATATATATATATATATACAATTGCATATATTAAATATATATATATATATAATTTTCAGTATAAAAGGTTTTCCATCAAGTTGTTATGAAAATTTTTTTTCTTACGAATTCTCATATACATATATATATTTAAAATAAATTTTTATGTGAATTATTTTTTTTTATTAAATTTCCTTAAATATAAACTTTCCTTATTATTATTATTATTTTATCATTCGTTTTAATAATAATAATAATAAACTTATTTTAATTTTTTTCAATTGGCCTAAAACCTAAATTTTTTATCTTATTTAATAAGTTATTTAATGCAATTTGAAAATTTTATTTAAAAAAATTTTTTTTTTTTTATAAAACTATAGTTATAATTAACGTCTTTATTATTATTATTATTATTATTATTATTATTATTATTATTATTATTATCATTATTATTAAATATATATTAGTTTTTAAAACTAAATTTACATATGGTTGTATGTAGAAATAGGAAGGAAAGGATTGGAATTATCTTTTTTATTTATTTATTTTTTTTTTGGCAGTTTTTATTTATTTATTTATTAATGGACAATTTATTAATGTTAATAAAACTTTATTTTTGTTTATTAACAATTAAGTATTTTTTTAAAAAATAATTTAATCGATTGGCCTTGACTACAAATAAGAGAATTTTCTTTTTTTTAGGACCACTATATGTATATGCTCGAGCACGTGTTTATGTTTATGTTTATGTTTATGTTTATGTTTGTGTTTGTGATAGAAAACATTAACTTGATAATAAAATCAAAGCATTTAATAATATTAATATAATAAAAATAACTGACGTCATATTTATTAATATATAAATAAATGAAACGAAAATTATTTTTCTTTTTTTTTTAATAAGCTTTGTCATTATTATCATTATTATTATTATTAAATTTATTTTTACGAATAAGCAAGAAATAAAACACATATATAATTAATTAATTATTTATAATACATAATACAATAATAAATGTAATTAATAAATAATTTTAAATTCGACAAAGGAAAAAAAAAAAATGAAAACCGAAAAAAAAATTATTTTTTTTTTTGACCATCCGACATATTTTATCCGTTTATTAAATAAACAATAATTACCATCATTATTATTATTATTATTATGAGTATTTTTTTTTTTTATCTATTAATTTTCTATTAAATAAAATGATTTTATTTAAGTTTTAGGCCCTTTTATTATTATTATTATTATTTATATTTTTCATTAATAAATTTTCATATAAAAATTTTTTTTTAAAAATTATTTTAATTAATTATTTTAACTCGGTAATTAATTAAAAATTATTTATTATTATTATTATTATTATTATTGGCTTAGGCGGTGGTACCTTGAACCTATTTGAGAATTATTACCTTACGTACCTATGTAATAATTAGTCTTTGGTATATAATATAAATATTTTAAATGTCAGACTTATTAATTTTTTTTTATTTATCTTTAGTCATTCATTATATTAAACTATTATTATATACTTTCACCTTTTCCTTGTATCTTACATTCACAAATAATCTAATAATATTTACTTTTTTTTTTTTTTTGTTTTTTTTTTTTTTTTGTTTTATTAATAAATTTATAATTATTATTTTTATTAATGGATAATAATAATAATAATAATAATAGTAATTATTACATTATAACAATAACGATGATATTTTTAATACCATCATTATTATTATATAAATAACGTCGGAATAAATTTTATCTGTTGTATAATAATTCGTTGCCGATTAAATAACTATTATTTAGTAAACTGCATATATAAAAAAAAAATATTAATAAGTAATTTTATTTTTATTAAATTTATGTTGGCTATCTTTTTTTTACTGTTACCATTATCATTATTATTATTATTTCTTTTTTATTAATAAGTACATATTAATTTTTACCGAAAAAATAAATAAATAATGATTAATTTTTTTGATCGATTTGTAAAACAATCGTATTTTGTATATGAATAAAATTTAATTAATAATAATAATAATAATAATATTAAGTAACTTTTTATTTATTTATTATTATTATTATTATTATTATTATCATTATTATTTTCCCTTTCACAAAAATTTTTGTGCTATACACCAATATCGATTCTAATTTTTTAACTATAATTTTTAAAGCACCGCTTTTTTTTTATCGTCATCAAGACTCATTTCTTTTTTTTTTTGGTTTGTTTGTTTGTTTACTTGTTTGTTTGTTTCGTAACTTATTTAATTATTTATCTATCTATTTATTTCTATTCGTCAAAATAATTTTTAAAAAAAACCCTTTCCCTCCCCCCTCCCAAAAAAAAACAAAAAAAAAAATTGTTCGAGTCAAGTCTTTTAGAACAACAATACGCAATATGTATTTTTATCCATTCGAATAATAATAATAATCATTATTATTATTATTATTATTATTTTCATTTTCATCGAACGCGCGCGCGTGTGTGTGTGTGTACGTGTTCGAACCGGAAATGATTTAATTTACGCTATTTTAAAAATCGTAAAACGTAAATAATTTATATTTCATTTCCTAATTTTATCACTTCGTAACCTGTAATTAAATTATTTCCGGTGTGATTTAATAATAATAATAATTATCATTATTATTAATAATAAATTCCCTCTTTTTTAAAACTAAAAAAACGGGCAAAAAAAAATTAATATTATTTTTTATTTAATTAATTATTCCAATCGTCTGTGTGTGTATGTGTTATTATAAATCAAAGCTTAATCCAACGCCATTTTTTTTTTTTTTTTAAAGAATAAACACGTGAAAATTTGAATTAAAAATGATCATATCCTTACACGTAATAATAATAATAATAATAAATATATATATATATATATATATATATATATATATATATATATATATATATATATAATAATAATAATAATAATAATAAAAATACAAATATATATATATATATACTGTGTGTTTAATAAGAAACGACTCCCTAACAAATAAACTAAACAACACTAAACGAGACTTGATAATTATAAATGAGAAAAATATCAATCAAATATAATAATAATAATATTAATAATAATAATAAT